TGACCTCTCTTATTTTTCTCCCTCACTGTGAAATGGGAAAACAGAGGCATAGTAAGTGCTCACAAAATGGAAACGTTTGTTATTATTTTCATTTGTTTTACATTCTGATTTCTGCAAGATTTAAAATGCAGGTGATCTTGGGAGAGAAACTAGTGCTTTCTCAGCGCAGGCGATTGTAAAATGCTCACTTCTTCCTCTGGCCCCTACAGGGGCATCTGCCTGCTAGGGGACCCTCTCCTGCTTTCTCTGCTTGTAGTGACCTCTGCTCTTTGAAGGTTTTAGTTGTTTTCAGTGTCTTTTCCTTTGCTAATGATAACATTATTGGTCAAAAGTGCTATATTTATGAGCGCTTATTGAGAAATCCTGTAGGGTCGCTATGAGTTGGGATCAACTCAACAACAGTGGGTTTGGTTTGGTTGTTGAGAAATCTGTCCCAGCCTTCAGCATGCACTTTTTCTTGTTTAGAAGTGAGTATGCTTATCATCCATCTATAGGAAAAGTGTTTTGAATTTTTAAATGTTGCTTAAATTTAGCTGATAGATCTTACTGTATTTAACTTTATTCACTAATACTTATAAACTTAATTTTTAAAAATTTGTATATTCTTATGGAAGTGAAAGTTGATCATTTTATCTTAAACTGGTCATATTGGTGATATGTAAGTTTAAGGGACAGTGTAGTAAAAATATAGTTCCCATAACTCTGAGATGACATTTTCTCCTATAGAAACTAACAGAATTCCCCAGATTCCCATGATGTTGGCCTATTTTTTCCCTCTGCCAGATGGTTGCAGGGACTGGATAGGTGATTGATTTGGTTTCCAAGGGTCCTGGAACTGCACAAATTGTTTTTCATATTGGAAAAGACGTGCCCAGTTTTTCATGAGTTTTAAGATTTATTGCCTCACCTTAAGTGTTGCAAATTACTTTGTTTGCTATTTATTTTACTTAGAATGTAGTAATTGGTATCATTAGTAGAGGGACAGATTTGATCACAAGAAACGGTCAGTCAGCTGGTTTTTAACGCTAGTTGTTTGTTTTTATGTGACACTTTTGCAGGGCTGGAGATAAGATGGGTAGACTGCTACTTTCCTTTTACTCATCCTTCCTTTGAGATGGAGATCAACTTCCGTGGAGAATGGCTGGAAGTTCTTGGCTGTGGGGTGATGGAACAGCAGCTGGTGAATTCAGGTAGAGAATCCAGAACTTCATTTGCAGCTTTCTTAAAAAACAATATCTGCTCACTTAATTTCATTTACGTACTCATTTTCACGTATTTACATATGGGTATCACGGCACCATCTTTCTCTCCTCATATTGTTCTCTTGACTTGCCTCCCATGCTTAACTCTGGAAGAACTTAATTTCTCACATCTGATTTTGCTAAGGGAGTCCCTGAGTGCAAACAGTTAACCTGTTCAGCTGCTAACTGAAAGGT